ATATACCTACATACCCCCAAACTATCAGACACGGAGCCAAAATCCTAATTCCACCGCCGCAACCTTCTGTACCCGTGAGATCCCATCTTGGGGCCTTTTTCAGAGCTCCGCCGGAGGGGGCATCGATCACGGAGGGCTTATATCATATTGCATGAGTTTATCCCTCTACATCATGTCAACTTGCTTAAAGCGTTACTCTGTTCTTTTGAACTTAATACTCTAGATGCATGCTGGATAACGGTCGATGTGTGGAGTAATAGTAGTAGATGAAGGCAGGAGTTGGTCTACTTGTCTCGGACGTGATGCCTATATACATGAGCATACCTAGATATTCTCACAACTATGCTCAATTCTGTCAATTGCTCAACAGTAATTTGTTCACCCACCATAATACTTATGCTCTCGAGAGAAGCCACTAGTGAAACCTATGGCCCTCGGGTCTATTTTCTATCATCTTCCATCAATAAGCTATTTCTTGCACCGTTTTTATTTTGCTTTATTTCTTTGCATCTTTATCATAAAAATATCAAAGATATTATCTTATCATATCTATCATATCTCACTTTCGTTAGTGACCGTGAAGGGATTGACAACCCCTTTAGTACGTTGGTTGCGAGGATTTTATTTGTTTGTGTAGGTGCGAGGGACTCATGCGTCGCCTCCTACTGCATTGATACCTTGGTTCTCAAAAACTGAGGGAAATACTTACGCTACTTTGCTGCATCAACCTTTTTCCTTCAAGAGAAAACCAACGCAGTGCTCAAGAGGTAGCAGGGGCCGTAGACACAGGGAAAGGTCTAGTCCAAGCGCTCAGCCATCATGGTGACAGTGGCAGAGATCGAGCCACGCATTGTGTGGAAGTTGGACAACTTGAAGAAATTGTCTAAGGCTGTGATAATCATGCCCCCTTGGATTCGATAACTAGGAGGACCATGTAGTTCACGGTGAAGAAGGGCCCCAGCATGCTCGCTCCAATTACATCGCTTAATTTCCAGCTCTTGGCTCCTCCTGCATCTTCCACGGCGGACTACTTCGAAGAGAAGACGCCTGGGAGCTGCAAGACCGCCCAGTAGTTCAGCATCTCCTCCAATACTGTGAGAGACTCAATTAGCAGTTTAGCACATGGTCCCAGTCGAACCACCTCACAAGATGTGAGAGCATCGCCTCTAGCCCCTCGCAGTGGCCCAAAGTCCTAAGTCTTGGAAGGCATGATGACGAGAACTAGGGGGCCACGGATCGGTGAGGTGGCGCACGCCAGACCCTTCCTTTAAGAAGAAAGAAAATAACAAATAAAAAAAATAAAAAAATTTGTACTAATTTTAACATAAATACGCTTTAATTTTTTATAATATGCAAGAATAAACATATAACAGTGGAATTTCAGAAAAAAGAAGTTTCCTATTAAGAATGAATTAGTGGCATTTTTATCATCATTAAAAAGGAAAGAAATGAAATAAAAACTAAAACGCAACCAAAATAATGAACATTTTTAAGGTAGAGTAAATTAGTGATATGGTATTATCCTTTAAGAGAAACAAAATAATAAAAATTTGCTCAAAACTTTGCACTTTTTAATATGTAAGAAATAAGGGAAATGATTAGAATCATCAGGCCGATTCTACACCTTGCGGTCACCGCCTCGAGAGCCAACCATGTGTGGATTTGTCCCACCCACCGCATGTCTTAGAATTTTGCAACATCCTCCATGTTTCTGAAACATGAGGAATGTTGCAGTGGCAACACGATGGTGCGACGATGTGGGCAAAAATATTCTGCAATATAACCTCTGTTGCAAAAAAAGACTGCAACATTACCTCTGTGGCAAAAAAATAATGCACAAAACCTTTGTTATAAATGTCTTCTGTAACATGACGTCTGTTGCAAAAAGTTCTACAACAGAACCTACATTGCAAAAGTGGGAAAAGTGAACAACGATCCTTGGCACTAGATTGTACTAGATTTGATGGCTCGCGATCCGTCGGCTGACGCGTAGCACGAGCCAAGAAATAAACATGTAATTGTGTAATTTTTACACTCTAATATAATTTATTCACATGTTATATGGTACTTGCGTGTATACATTCTACACCAACCAACACCCTAAGAAATACCCAGAAAAAACGATTAAGAAAAAAAAGCAAAAAAGGCATAAAAAGAAAAAGAAGAAGCATGTGGGCCTATAAACAGACAACAGGAGCCCAAAACAGGGGCCAGTCAAAAATTTCAGCCCAAAACATTACAGTAGACACAGCAAGAAGAGAAACAAAAAGCATGAATCTTAAAGCAGAAATCAATGGTTTAAAAATTGACTAACTCAAATTCGTTTTTCAGGCGACTTATATGTAGCTAAAGTGTTTTCCACGACACTAAATTTGACTGCTCGCCTTTTGTATTTCCGTTATGATATTAATGGAAACGGGATTTGCCCGATTAATTTTTTTGTAAGTGTATTTTAATCTTGTTAAAACTAAGTGTTAATTAAATTTTGTTCCATTCGAATTGGTCCAAGAAAATAATTTTGTAGGTCTGTTTGCGTTAGTATTTGTCATCTGATATTGACATGGGCCGGCTGATGGTTCACGGGTGTTTGTATGTTTGCTAAGGGAAGTTGTTTTGCTGCAACTAGTCAGCTGGAGCTCCTCGGATGGCCGGCCGATTACAAGAATATACACGCAATTTGCGCAAATCGACACCTTTCCCGTTAATATAACAATATAACCTTTGTGTTTCTGGCTCGATCTGGTACAACATGTCAACTTCAGCAAGCAAATCATTGATCGATTGTCCCAGAAAAGGCTAATCGATGACCATACTGCCCCGGCCACACAGGTTGATCCCCTATAAATACTCTCCAGATCGCTGCAATATACTCACACAGTCACAAAGCTAAAGCAAACCTGAGCTAGCACAGCTACATCACACAATCACGAACTAGAGCGAACAATGGCTGCATCCAGGCCGAGCAGCATGGCCGTGGCAATGGTGGCGGTCGTGGCCGTGCTCCTGTGCGCGGGCGTGCGGCCGGCGGAGGCGTGCAACGGCCACCCGTGCCCCTCGCCGGCGGGCAATTGCCCCGTGAACGCGGTGAAGCTGGCGGTGTGCGCGGACGTGCTGGACGGGCTGATCCACGTGGTGCTGGGGCAGTCGCCGCCCAAGCAGCCGTGCTGCTCCATCATCTCCGGCCTGGTGGACCTGGACGCCGCCGCCTGCGTCTGCCTCGCCATCAACGCCAACGTCCTGGGCATCAACCTCGACGTCGACGTCGACCTCACGCTCCTGCTCAACTACTGCGACTGCAAGGTGCCCAAGGGCTTCCGTTGCGACTGATTGACCGTGACGGATGGTCAGTACGTCTTCGTGCATGCGTACGTTCCATGCTGCATGCATGCAAAGCATATGCATGTGCACGTACTCATTGTTCTTTGTTGTTTTGTTTTTGATATAGCTTACCACTCATGTCAAGTGGTGCATGTGCACGTACTCTACATGTCATGTTCAGCTGCCATTAGGATTGTCGCCGTGTGCTCGGTCTATATTTAACGTGTCAATTCCCAGCGTGTGTGCCGTTGTGTAGTAAAAGCGACATTTCCTTTTAATAAAAAGCACAGTTTTGTAATTGGACCCTTTTAAGTGTCACATGTGTGGCATGAAGCAATTTCGTCCACACACTCTTCTATCTACACATTGTGACACGTCAGTCATTTTGTTTCTTGCACATACGATGCATGCAAACAGGGCTAAAAAGAGACGTGTCAGTGGAAATCTTTTGGGTTTTCTAAACTTTAATATTTTATCTTTAAATGGAAAACCCGATGAAAAATCCGTTTTCATCATTAAAACTGTTACAACGAGGACTTCGAAACTAGATCACATATCGATATGTTTCGACGATTTTTTTGTGGTTAAAAGTTGCCATGTCTATTGCACATAAATTCCCATGGTGTTTACATTCAAATTGCCATGATATGTTTAAACTACTTTTTCTTCTACGTTTAAAGTAAATTTTGACATGTTATAAAAAAAGGGAATTAAGAAACTAAAGTTGCCATGGAGAATTACTAAAATTTGCCATGATCCATGAAATAATTTTGACATAGTTCATTATTAAAAAGAAATTCGTCGTCAATTACATTAAAGATGCCTAGTCAATGACACAAATTTGCCACGAACCTGGACCTAAAATTGCCATGGTGAATTACTTAAATTTGCCATGATACGTGCACTAAAATTTTCCATGGTTCATACAAAAAATAACTTCCATGGTAAAAATACTAGAATTGTCATGGTCAAAATACTAAAATTGCCATGATGAATTACTAAAAATTGCCATGATCCATGAATTAAATTTGCCATGGTTAATTACTAAAAATTGCCATGGCCAACTAATAAAATTTGCAGTGAAATGTTGTTGAAATACAATGGTAGCTTTAAATCTAAAAGAAAAAATAGATAAAATATATCATGGGAACTTTAGTGTAAACACTATGACAACTTTGGTGTAACATCATGGCAACTTTTGGCACAAAAAAATATTCGTCGAAACATATCAATATGTGTTATAGTTTTGAAGATCTCTTCAAGACGGATTTAATGATGAAAACAGATTTTTAATTGGATTTTTTATTTAAGAGATAAAACATTTTCAAGTCCGAAAACCAAAAAAATCATGTTGATGTCATCGGTTTGGTGTGGGAAAAAGGACGGTAATGAGAGAGTCGGATCCTCTAACATGCTCAAGAAATGTCATAGAGCTACAGTGTTCTTGTGTAAAAAAGAGAAAGAAAGTCAGGGAGCTTATGAAATTGAAATAGTTCTTTTGAAAAAAGTGAAACCAGTTTTTCTAAAATTGAAATGAGTCTTTTAAAATTGAACATGGTGTCATGAATTGAAATTGATCTTTTAGAAGTTGAAACATGTTTTTTGGAAATTGAAATAAGCACTGTTCATGGGCTAAGAGTGAAGGGAAATTAGGTTACTGTAGCTTACCTACCTTCCATTCGAATGTTAGAGGATCCAACTCCGATAATGAGGGCGTTTAGACCATGTTGCTTCGTGGCACACGTGTGACACTTATTATTTGGGTTGCAATTTGCGAGCTATGGAATTTTGGACGCGCCAGTCGACTCCGCGATGAAGAATAACAGACGATTCTGATGAAGAATAGCGGCACATCTAGTTGACTAGTTCCAAGGCAGTTCTAAGGCATCACAAGTTGTAGCGAGCAAGAACCGGCGAACAGATATGAGTTCGAGACTTGACAAGTGTTGGTGGGAGTCTTTCCAGACTAATCCTGGTTGGATTAGATGAAGTCCAAACCGAAGTTGGGAGTGAAGGAAATATGCCCTAGACGCAATAATAAAGTTATTATTTATTTCCTTATTTCATGATAAATATTTATTATTCATGCTAGAATTGTATTAACCGGAAGCATAATACATATGTGAATACATAGACAAACAGAGTGTCACTAGTATGCCTCTACTTGACTAGCTCATTAATCGAAGATGGTTGAGTTTCCTAACCATAGACATGAGTTGTCATTTGATTAATGGGGTCACATCATTAGGAGAATGATGTGATTGACATGACCCATTCCGTTAGCTTAGCCCCCGATCGTTTAGTATGTTGCTATTGCTTTCTTCATGACTTATACATGTTCCTATGACTATGAGATTATGCAACTCCCGTTTACCGGAGGAACACTTTGTGTGCTATCAAACGTCATAATGTAACTGAGTGATTATAATGGTGCTCTATAGGTATCTCCAAAGGTACTTGTTGGGTTGGCATATTTCGAGATTAGGATTTGTCACTCAGATTGTCGGAGAGGTATCTCTGGGCCCTCTCGGTAATGCACATCACTTAAGCCTTGCAAGCATTGCAACTAATGAGTTAGTTGCGGGATGATGTATTACGGAACGAGTAAAGAGACTTGCCGGTAACGAGATTGAACTAGGTATTGAGATACCAACGATCGAATCTCGGGCAAGTAACATACCGAGGACAAAGAGAACAACGTATGTTGTTATGCGGTTTGACCGATAAAGATCTTCGTAGAATATGTAGGAGCCAATATGAGCATCCAGGTTCCGCTATTGGCTATTGACCGGAGACGTGTCTCGGTCATGTCTACATAGTTCTCGAACCCGTAGGGTCCGCACACTTAGTGTTTCGATAACGGTTATATTATGAGTTTGTATGTTTTGATGTACCAAAGGTTGTTCGGAGTCCCGGATGTGATCACGGACATGACGAGGAGTCTCGAAATGGTCGAGACATGAAGATTGATATATTGGAAGCCTATGTTTGGATATCGGAAGTGTTCCGGGTGAAATCGGGGTTTTACCAGAGTACCGGGAGGTTACCGAAACCCCCCGGGGGCTTAATGGGCCTACATGGGCCTTAGTAGAAATAGAGGGCAGCAAGGGGAGTGTGGGCGTGCCCCCCAAGGCCCAAACCGAATTGGTTTAGGGCAAGGGGGCCGGCCCCCTCTTCCTTCTCCCCCTCTCACTTTCCTTCTCCCAAGTCCTAATCCAACTAGGAAAGGGGGGAGTCCTACTCCCGATGGGAGTAGGACTCCTCCTGGCGCGCCTCCTCCCTGGCCGGCCACACCCCCCTTGCTCCTTTATATACGGGGGCAAGGGGGCACCCCAAAGACACAATAATAGATCGTTTGATCTTTTAGCCGTGTGCGGTGCCCCCCTCCACCATAGTCCAGCTCGATATTACTGTAGCAGTGCTTAGGCGAAGCCCTTCGTCGGTAGAACACCAACATCGTCACTACGCCGTCGTGCTGACGAAACTCTCCCTCAACACTCGGCTGGATCGGAGTTCGAGGGACGTCATCGGGCTGAACGTGTGCTAAACTCGGAGGTGCCGTACGTTCGGTACTTGATCGGTCGGATCGTGAAGACGTACGACTACATCAACCGTGTTGTGCTAACGCTTCCGCTTTTGGTCTAGGAGGGTACGTGGACAACACTCTCCCCTCTCGTTGCTATGCATCACCATGATCTTGCGTGTGCGTAGGAATTTTTTTGAAATTACTACGTTACCCAACAGTGGCATTCGAGCCTGGTTTTATGCGTAGATGATATATGCACGAGTAGAACACAAGTGAGTTGTGGGCGATACAAGTCATACTGCTTACCAGCATGTCGTACTTTGGTTCGGCGGTATTGTTGGATGAAGCGGCATGGACCGACATTACGCGTACGCTTACGCGAGACTGGTTCTACCGACGTGCTTTGCACACAGGTGGCTGACGGGTGTCAGTTTCTCCAACTTTAGTTGAACCGAGTGTGGCTATGCCCGGTCCTTGGGAAGGTTAAAACAGCACCAACTTGACAAACTATCGTTGTGGTTTTGATGTGTAGGTAAGAACGGTTCTTGCTCAGCCCGTAGCAGCCACGTAAAACTTGCAAGAAACAAAGTAGAGGAAGTCTAACTTGTTTTTACAGAGCATGTTGTGATGTGATATGGTCAAAGCATGATGCTAAATTTTATTGTACGAGATGATCGTGTTTTGTAACCGGGTTATCAGCAACTGGCAGGAGCCATATGGTTGTCGCTTTATTGTATGCAATGCAATTACCCTGTAATGCTTTACTTTGTCACTAAGCGGTAGCGATAGTCGTAGAAGCATAAAGATTGGCAAGACGACAACGATGCTACGATGGAGATCAAGGTGTCGCGCCGGTGACGATGGTGATCATGACGGTGCTTTGGAGATGGAGATCACAAGCACAAGATGATGATGGCCATATCATATCACTTACATTGATTGCATGTGATGTTTATCTTTTATGCATCTTATCTTGCTTTGATTGACGGTTGCATTATAAGATGATCTCTTACTAAATTTCAAGATAAAAGTGTTCTCCCTGAGTATGCACCGTTGCCAAAGTTCGTCGTGCCCAAACACCATGTGATGATCGGGTGTGATAAGCTCTACGTCCATCTACAACGGGTGCAAGCCAGTTTTGCACACGCAGAATACTCGGGTTAAACTTGACGAGCCTAGCATATGCAGATATGGCCTCGGAACACTGAGACCGAAAGGTCGAGCGTGAATCATATAGTAGATATGATCAACATAGTGATGTTCACCATTGAAAGCTACTCCATTTCACGTGATGATCGGTTATGGTTTAGTTGATTTGTATCACGTGATCACTTAGATGATTAGAGGGATGTCTATCTAAGTGGGAGTTCTTAAGTAATTTGATTAGTTGAACTTTAATTTATCATGAACTTAGTCCGAGTAGTATTAACATATCTATGTTGTAGATAAATAGCTCGCGTTTAACTCCCCTGTTTTATTATGT